AGGAAGGAAGGAAGGAAGGAAGGAAGGAAGGAAGGAAGGAAGGAAGGAAGGAAGGAAGGGAGATTATGAGAGTGAGGGAGGGTCTCAGGGAAGTCCTGCCTTAGCACTTGGCCACCACAGGTGCCCCCCCAACTCCCGGACCTGAGTGACATTGAGCTGGCCACGCCCACCATAGCCACAGCCCCACCCACCCATAGCGACGCCCACCTGGCTCTCCGAGGTCAAACACAGTCCTGATGCAGCCCTTCATGAAATTGAGTTTGACACCCAAGTTAGAGGGTGAATCTCCAGTCAGACGCTGCCAGTGGTACCCCAGAGTTGTGCAAGAGTTAACCACATGCAATGCCACTCCATCTCCTTCACCAACAAGAGGGTGCCAGGGATCAATTCTCCATCACTCGCACATCCTTACCTGACCAGATAGATGTGTCCTTTGTTAATATCAGTGTACATGAACTTCATTCACACTTACTACACTGGTAATCCTTGAATTATGATCGGTCGGCTTAGCCATTGAAAGAATAACAGAATAACAGAGCTTTGCTGGCTGAGGAATTCTGGGAGTTGAAGTCCACAAGTCTTAAAGTTGCAAGGTTGGACACCCCTGTTCTAAACCCCCAGTTCAAGGCAAGGAGCCTTATACCATCCCAGTTAAACGGTTCTCCGATCTATTCTTGAAAACCTTCAGTGTTGGAGCATTCACGACTTCTGGAGACAAGCCATTCCAAGGATTAATTGTTCTCACTGTCAGCAAACGTCTCCTTAGTTCTCGGTCGGATCTCTCTTTGATAAGCTTCCCTTGTCCTGAGCCCAGGTGGTTTAGAGAACAGAGTTAGTACTTTTCGAGACGATCCCAGTCTCGTGGTTCCACGGGCATCGGTCTGCAAGCACAGCCTTGGTGTGCCTGGAGAGCCACCTGGTGGAATGAACCACAAATCCTTCTGCAGAAGTACAAAGCAATGTGCCACAGCTGCCCCAAAGTGCCAATCCAGCTTCAGGTTGCATTAAACAGGGAGGATTAACACCAAAACCGTGGAATGGGCTGGTTCTGCTCTCCACGGTGCTGACCAGGCCACAGCCAAACATGGGGCCTAATTCTGGTCAGGACAGCGCAAGAAGGATGTTGAGAAACTGGACAGAGTGTTGAAGGGCCCGGAAGTTCAGTCTTATGAAGGACAGTTAAAAGGACCTGGGTACGTTCCACTGTTAGAGCAATAATGATGTATGGGTTGTGAGAGTTGGACATTTAGAAGACTGACCCAAGAAGAATTGGCGCCTTTGAACTGTGGTGCTGGGGCAAATGACGGTGTATACCATGGGCAGCCAGAGTAACTAACAGAGAGGTCTTCAATGGTATAAAACCAGAGACGTCCTAGAAGGTTTAATCATAAGACTACATCTGATACTGTGTTATGCATGCAAATTCATTGCAGAAGGCAATGAGGCTAGTGGAACAAGACGACGGGGCAAAGAAAGAACCGGCTGGCTTGATCCCATCAAATCTAATGCAAAGTTGAACATCCAGCAACTGCAAGAAGCTGTGCCTGAGAGGGTAGCATGGACAGCACTTGCCTATAAAGTCACCAAGAATCAGACATGACTTAAATGGTTAAAAACTAACAAAACAATGTTCAACCAGAAGGAAAAAAGGGGTTATGGGAGATATAATCTCCGCCTTCCAATATTTAAAGGATTGTCATAGGGAAGAAGGATTTATTTCCCACAGTCCCCAAAGATAAGAGTTAAGGGGGGAATATTGCTACAGTGAGAGACAGAAACTGGAAATAAAGAGGAATTTCTTCACTTGAGAGCTATTTAACAGTTGGACGTCATTCTGCCTTCTGGAGTTGTGGAATCTCCACTAGAAGTTTCCCAGAAAAAGTTGGACAGCCTTTTTGTCCAGGACAATTTAAGGGATGCTGCACTGGAAAAGGAGTTGGATTAACAGACCTCTAAAGTCCCTTTCAACCTGAGGATTCTATAAAAATTATATATCTATGGCATCTGTATGGCTTTTTTCTATGAGATTTACGCCAAAAAAAAAAAAGGAAAACCTGTCATTCAAGCAGACACTATCCTTGCTCCATACAGTACACAGGAATGTTTAGCTTGTTTCAGAAAATAACATAGTACATGATATGCAAATATATGCAAAATTCATTACGCTATTTCTTTTTAAGGCAATCATACTATTCAAAGAGGAAGAGTAGTAAATAAAAAAACACTGAAATGTGTGGAAATAAAATGACATTAACTAAATCTGTTTTTTCCCCCTTCTGTTTAATTGTTTGTGATTCTCAGAGATCAGAGACTGCCTGGATAAGTGGTTTTTTGGCAAGATTTTTGAGAAAAAAACTGACTGTTTAAAAAAACAGCCAGTTACGTTCTAGTGTCAAAGGAGAACTTCTCCAGGATTTCCCTGATTAAAATCTTTAAGTCTTAACTGCCACACAACTTTGGTATCACAATTGTGTGTGTTACCTGGTCTAGTCTCTGCGGCTCTCTTGGCAAGATTTCAGAAGTGATTTGCCGTTGCAAATCCAAGGTGGATGTGTTGCCTAAGGTGGGGCCAAAACTCACAATTTGTAGCTGGTGCCTTTACCACAACACCAAAAGGGCTCTCAGTTTCACCAACGCTGAATGTTCATTCACTGACTTTCAAGAGCACACTTCTCCTGAGATTTAATCTAATTTATCTTCCCCATGAAAAAACTAATAATATCTATTCCTTTCATCCACAGCTTCAAGTAGTCTGGTAAAGTAAGCTGAGTGCAAATGATATAGCAGCTTGAGACAGAAGGGGAACCATATAGGTTCAGAGCAGATTAAGCAGTTGTTTATAAATAACCAGGGGAAAATGCAGTAATCATTAAAAGCCACTGTTTTGTTATACCAGAACATGTTTCATTACTCATTAACGGTTTAAGCATATTTTGGAAGACTTTCTACCTTGTAGCTCCGAGAATGCATGGATGTTAATGGATCTATTACTGCACAACTGTAACGAGTGAGCACAAAGGAGTGACACCACACTGACTCTCCAGCAAACTATTATAAGCATTCGTCCTGAGTTCTGTGCTTTGCTTGGATACGAATATGGAGGGGTTTTATCAAACCAATGACTGGCAGAGGGCTGGCAAGATTGACTAAAACCAGGGAGAAGCAAGATACAGACATTCATGCATTTAAGGTAAACAAAAAAAATGAAGATGTAACCATTCAACAGATTAATCATTGAGCCAGCTGTCTACTACTTTGACTAAAAAGACGAACAGCATCTCAGTTTGAATTCAACAAAAACTATCTAGAACACAAAAGTGGTAGAACCGTTCAGTGCTAATCAGCCTAGATGGGAAGTTCTGGGACACTTAATCAACCATGCTGCCAAACTGAATTGTGTCAAGCAATAGTAACCACAACTGGGTGTATTTGAAAATAAAATCCCATATAAAATGGCTGAGAGACAAGGGTACGATTAGCTTGTAGAGAAAAAGCAATGAAAGGGTGACCATGATAGTTATCTTCAAATATCCGAAAGGCTGCTATGTTTAAGATGACAACATGTGCCCATTGACATTTCAATAGGGCAGGATTAGAATAAGGAGGTGAAAACTAAAAATTAATACAGTACAGTACATTTCAACCAAACATGAAAAGAAATTTCAATATCAAAAGCTATTGAACATCCAAAAATAGTGGACTGTTGTTCTTTGACAATCATTTGTTCATCAGATTTATTTGTAATCAATAAAAATAAGGAAATTTATTTTTATCTTGTTTTTAAGGAATGAGGAAGAAGAAAACAGGAAACTTGCACTGACCCCTCCTAGAGGATTGAAAGGTGAAATGTATCACACGTATACACATCCCATCTAAGTAAGGCATTGAAAATGTTCCAAGCTCATCCAGCTTCCTTATCAGTGAACAAAAAGTGACTAATAACTTTTTGAGGAAGATCTGCAGGAAGCAGAAGCCAACCCAGCATGCATTTCCCACAAAGGCCAACTCAGCCTTCCTTCCTGGTCTCAAAAAGGAGGTTCTTCCTCTATCCCTTCTCTTCCCTCCCTTTGGGTTTCCACCCAAAGGGGGAAGAGAAAGAATCTATTTCTGGCTAAAAAGCCAAAGGGAAAAAAAAGAAAAGAAAAGCAAATTCATAAAAGAGGAATCATGCTCAACATTTCATTAGGATGGTCCTAATGACCCCTAACAATCTGGAGGGGCAAAACTTTTACAATAACTTTAATGTCATTTTTAAATGTACACTAACCGGCACACATTAAAATAAAATTTTGTTACTACAGAATAGTAAAAGACAAACAGCTTTTACTATTAATTTATCTCTTCTATATGTCCTCTGTGCATGTGTATGTAACTTTTATTTATTAAATTCATATGCCGCCCATCTACCCAAAGCAACTGGGATATATGCATGCATGCATACATATGAGCTGACGGTGTATATGCATATACATGAGTGTTTATATGTATGTGTATACACAAACACATATGTGCATACCTACATACACATATATATTACACACACACGTTGCTTTGGGTAGATGCATATGCATGCATGCATACATATTTGAGCTGACACTGTATATGCATGCATGTGTGGGTGTGTACACTGTCACCTCATGGCCCAACTGTCTCTGGGCAGCGGGAGAGGGACTGGCCTGTCCCCCAGCCAGCTTCCACCCCGCAGGGAGGCCCAGCGCTCCCTCTCTCCTGGCTTCTAGGCCAGCCCTTCCCCCTGCGGGCTCTCTTTTGCCGCCCTGCCGAGCTCATCCAGATCCGTCCAGGCCTGACGGGGCTTCCCGAGGGATTATTCCACAGCTGGCCGAGAGCAGCCGCTGCCACCGGGCGCCTTCTGCACATGTTCAGGGGCTCTTTGCCTGTCGGGGCTTGGAGGGAGAGAGACATCTCCCGCCACGGGGAAGGGCCAGAGCCGGGAAAGGAGCTCCGGGGACCGGAAAGCCCGGCCGGGGCTCGAGCCGACTCACGTTTCACCAGCTCCTCCCCGGGGAAGCCCGCCGCGCAGCTGGTGATCAAGGTGCACGGGACGGCCATCGCGCACGCCAGCGGTCTTTGAAGGGCCCGGCGCTTCCCTTTCCGGTGGAGGCCCCGCCCTTTCCGGCCCGTACCATTTTAAACAACCGCTGGGGGGGGGACGGAAACGAACAAAGTTAGCGAACCGTTGAGGCTTAAGAAACCCGCAATCCCCGAAGAACTGCGATGCGAAAGCAAAGGCGCCTCCGCGACTCTTTTCTTTCGCGAACAGAAAGCGGAGCTGGGTCCATTTCACACGGCTACGGCCATTCTTTCCCACCCCCCGCGCCTAATACGGACCCGTGGTCCAGGCCCGAGCCGCGCGTCCCGTTGCTAGGAGGCGCGGTCACGTGACTCCCGGCGCCTTTCCGGAGTGGGAGGTTCCGCCATGGCGGGGGTAGCCGGGTCGGGGGTCGAGCTGGGCAGCGTCTTGGTGCAGGTGGGTGGAAGGAGGTCGCCTCCGCCCGGCTCCCCGGACCCCCTCGCGCCACTGCCCGACCTGATGGGCTCCAGAATCGTGGGTGTGTGTGGGTGGGTGTGGCTAGGTTCAGCCACAGTTGGACTAACTAACCATGGTCTGTTGCCTAAACCACGATGGGCGGGGGGCTTCACGGCTGGGCTTGGTGAATTGGCCGTGGCTCGGTTAGCAAAGCATACTGGGTCGTTTACCCTCTCGACCCTTTTTGCAGAGCGCAAAGTTTTTAAGTTTAAAAAAAAAATACTATTTTTTAAATGGTGGTTTGCATCAGGGCCAAAGGCTGCCCTGAGCTAAAACTGGGCTAACCGAGGCGGGCCTCTCTGGATAAAACATTGCCTTTTATTTGGCTGGTTCGGTTTTGGCTTGGTGTCAATTTCCTAAGTTGTGGCTGCACAAACACAACTATTGGTGTGTTACCCTGGGATCAGTAAACAGCCCCTGAAAAAAGAGCGAGGGATTTTTTTCCTCTCTGGCTGAGTAAATCTTCTACAGTCCAGCCAGGATTCCTTGGCTAAATATAACCCATAGGACCTTTGTAGGAAAAATGGTTTTCTCTCGCATTTTAATATAATTTACACTTCCCTCGGAAGTTACTGTTTCCCCTTTTTAATGTCTAACCTTAGCCTTCTGGTGGAGAAAAAGCAGATTTGGTAGACATCTTACAAAATAACTCATCTGTCTTTTGGACTACTCTGGCAATATGATGCCCTGAAGAGATGCAGCTTACAGCTGATTAAATATCTAAATGGAAAATACAGTGTACTAGTCTCCAATGGAACTGTCTTTGGTTTGATTTCAGAAATATTTCACAGATTTAGTATGTATGTATGTATGTATGTGTATGTGTGTGTAATATATATATAATATGCATACATATACATACATACATACATACATATAATTATGTGGAATTAGCCAGCTATTTTTTCAATCAGCTTTGTCTTAAAAACCACATGACTGACATTCAGAATTTTATCTACTTACTTTGGAAGACCCTACCTTGACAAATATATTATTTTCCGATAGTAGAAACCAGTGCATTCATATCACACTGCACAACTTAGCGACTAGAATCAATCACGGTAGCATTTACCTAGTGGGAAATGATACTTCCTGATAAAAGTTATCCCATTCCCTTAGTTCCAGAGATTCTTCTGGAACTCTCTTGCTTCTAAAGATTGTGTTAATCAGCAACGGGCTTTTCCAAAAGGATGCTGTTTCAAAGAATCGTAACTACTGGAGCGCCTGAAGAGAATGGAGTGGACAAGCAGGGTAGCAGCCACTCAATTTTATGTTCCCCTCGGCTTTAATTGGCTGCATTTGCAGTGACATTTTTCTCACCCGTAAGGAAATGTGGCCTCTGATCCCTTAGATCCAGAGATCACTCGCTTTCACGTGTCACATTGGCACCTGAACTCTTTTCTAAGAACGCTCTTTTTCCAAAAATTTGTTTTATTCACAAAATTAAAATAGAAGCTCCACGAAAGAAAGAAAAAGTTAAATGAGACATAAAATAAAAAACATACATACATACATACAGAGAGAGAACAGAGATTGTGGATTCTAGGCCTCCCTTAGGCATGAATGCTGGTTGGGTAACTGTTTAAGACAGTCTCAGTCCTGCCAGACTACCCTGATCTCAGGTTTTGACTAGATTATGCCCTTAGCTATGAGGATTCTGTGGACTCAACAGAATTTGTTTTTAAGCAAAATATTTGACAAAAATATCCTGTGGTATTTTAATTAGCAAGCTAGTTAAGAAAGGGCTCTTGGCTGTGATAAGTGAATACTTGACTGGCTCAAAATTCCGATTCAAAAGCGTCTTCATCACCAGTTTGTGGTCTAGAACAAGGAGTAACGTTTTTGTGTGTAAAAGTCCAGATAGTAAAGATTTTAAGCTTTGTGGACCAAGAGATTTAAATCAAGGATATTATGTTCTTATATAACCAGGGGGGAAACAAATTTCCAAACATTTTAATGGATGCAATTCCCTTTCTTTGACCTGCTCACACTTCCAAGAGGCCAGGGCAGAGGCTCCAGCCGCTCTGCAGGTACAACTGGCAGGTCTGCAGGCCAAGGAGTAGCAGCTTGCCAGCAAGGAGGCCACCAATGCCAAGGATGTTCAGCCCCACCCTTCACATTGGGAGCTCAGCTGAGGTTCAGGTCTAGGTAGCTCCACCTGCCTACCCACCTGTCCATCCTTAGCTCACAGGCCGTACAGGGACAGGTGGCAGGTTGGATTTGGCTCATGAGCTCTAGTTCGTTGGCCATCTGATCCAGAACTTATCAAATAGAGTAGAACGGATTGTCCTGCGTCCTCTATTCTTCACCATTTTCTTACATAAGAGTAGACAAAGGGTGGAGAGGATGCTTATCAGATTTACAGATGACAAAAGCTGTAGTGGGATAGCTAAAAAAAAAAAAAACGAAAATTCACCAAAATTAGGGAAGGACCAGCATCTGAGGGGTCACGTCTACGAGATGGCAAAGGGGATTGGAAGAAAAGAGACACGTGTGCTGCTAGCCAGGAGATGTTGCCAGCTGGGTATAAATAAAGCCCCAAATGTTGGAGGCTTATGGATAACTATACAGTCACTTCTGGTGCTTGGCAGCTGTGCTGCATTCATGGCCATTTGGTGTCTCTCTCTTTTTTTTAACAGTTTATATATTTTCATTTTACATGCATAGGTGCTTATTGAACAGCACATTGTCTGGGTCCATTTGTTTACATAATACATTTCCCAGTCCTAATTTCTACTTCTATTATCCAACCATTTGTAAAACAAGTCCCATGTTTGAAAATATTTTGCATCTTCTTTTTCCCTTATTTTTAGTGTCAGCACAATCTAATTTTTTTTTAATTGCATCTTCTGCAGGTTTTTCCTCGTTTTTCCAGTACTGTGCAAATACAATTCTTGCTGCTGTCAAAACATATATTAAATATAGATTCCCTTTATCATACTTTTCAGGTATAATACCTAACAAAAATATTTCTGGCTTATCATCTATGTGCTGCTTTAAGGTTTTATTCTAACCATGTATGTATTTTTGGCCGTTTGGTCTCTTGACTGCATTTAATGATGGTTTTGCTGAAAATTCATTTACCTCCAGCTTTCTGCAAAACCGCACCCATAGCAAGCTATGGGTTCACTTAACAACCACAGTATTCACTTCATGACCACACATTCACTTAGTGGCACCAGGGATTCACTGAACAAAAAGGTCATAAAATCAGGTTACAACCATGATGGGCATTCTCTGTTGCCGTTGTAAGTCGAGGACTCCCTGTGCACCTAGCTACCTGCTTTGTTAGCTTCCTTCAGGCAGGGGAATAGTTAAGTCAGGAATCCTGAGCAAGCAATAAATCATTTGGCTGTGTTCTTACTGCGTCCCAAATTCTTCCATGGTTGAAGTCGTAAAAGACAGTTTGGAGGAAGAAATCTATTTGTGTAATTGCTTAAGCTAAGATGTCTTTACATGGCTAAAAGAAAAAACAGTGTTTTCTGTCTGATAAAATAAATCAAGCGGGGGTGGGCTGGGGGCGGAATCGGAAGAAACGTTTTTGCAAATGAAGTTTGGTTGGTTGCTCCCAAGAAGCTACGAGGGTTTGTGACAGTGTAGATTAGAAATCTTAAGATATTTTAACAGTTAAAAGTGTTCCAAAGCAAGATTAACTTTATTGGCATTTACTCCCAGTTGAGTATACTGGAAGGCAGCTGCACAGTAGAATTCTTCATATGCGGTACAAGTCTCATTGAGCATTATACCTATTATTGGAACCGAAGCCTAAATCAATAATATTGTTATTTGAGCCAGGCTATGTTTGTATAGCACACTAATCCATCAAATGCGGTTAAGAAATTGCACATCATGTTAACGTGGCTTAACAGGGTAGCCTTGTTTACATTATACACTGCAACACAACGGGCTGTTGGATGTTGATTCAGCCTTGGTGTTTTGTCAACAGTGGCTCAATATGTTTATTTGGTCATGCACACCTGCAGGAAGGGCCAGCAGGTAAACGCTGACAAGTGTGATGACGCCATCACACGTACACACACTTTTCTCCAACATCCTGATGCAAGACCGTAATAACATTTGTGGGATGACATCATTGTATGTGTGTGTGGCCATTTCGATTTGTGGACATTGCTGGACCCAGCCTCGTAGTGGTGGTTTTTTTTCTTTCTTTCAAGTGGCCTTGTTAGAGAATACATGATGCTTGCACTATCCCAACTCCAGCCCTGTAATTTGAAATGCCAGCTTTTGTCTCCCACTTGTAACATTCCAGAAGACTCTGAGGTTTAAGCAGCCGGATACTTTTCAGTCTTAACCTCAGAGGTGCATTTAAATTCTTGTGTGTTTTCAGTGCATGCCTTCTTTCCTAGGTTCAAGAAGATCTTCAACAGTTGAAGGAACAACTGCGAGATTTCAGCCACGGCTGGGAATCAACAGATGCTGAAAGTCTAGAATCGATCGTTGAGAAGGCAGAGAACAGGCTGAGGGTAAGTGAATTGCCTCGCTTTTAGCGGTAAACTACAGGTAGTGTTGTGGTTCACCGGCGGCCTGTGCAGACGGCAGCGGAATCGGACAGTGGGGAAGAACGGGGACCAGTTTGGGAGTCTGGGGAGGACTCGGACGAGGGTTCTGTGTCCGATGCAGAGATGGGGTGAGGGCCATTTGGGAGTGGGGTGCTGACTCCGGAGTCTTCAGTGTCTGGCAGCAGTGAGGCCGACGAACAAGGGGAGCCTGTTCCCAGTGTGCGTGTGCACAGAGCTGCTAGAAGGCAAGAGCAGCTGAGACAAAAGGGGCGACTTGGGAGTAAGGCTGGGAGGTGATTGCCCCTCCCCTAAGGTATAAAGGACAGGCAAAGGTAGAGAAACCTTTGCAGGAAGCAACGTCATTTGCTCTG